GCTCCTCTGCTTGCCTCTGCCCTCGTCAGTATGCGCCTCCCCCACCCAGTACAGCGCTTCGTGGCCCCATGGAGCTCCAACGAAGACCCCAGTGTCTGCACTCGCACGCGGGACCCCCATCCGGTACAGCGCTTCTTGGCACCATAGAGAGCTCCACCGCAGGCCCCTGTGGCTGCTCTCGCATGCGGGACCCCCGCCCAGCACAGCCTTTCGTGGCCCCGTAGGGAGCTCCACCGAAGGCCCCAGTGGCAGTGCTCGCATGCGGGACCGCCCACACAGTACAAAGTTTCGTGGCCCCATAGGTAGCTCCACCGAGGGCCCCTGTGGCTGCACTCGCATGCGGGACCCCCCGCAGCACAGTTCGCATGAGGTTCCTGCGCCCAGTACAGCGTTTCGTGGCCCCATAGGGAGCTCCACCGAAGGTCCCAGTGGCGCAGTTCGCATGCGGTTCCTGCGACCAGTAGAGCGCTTCGTGGCACCATAGGAAGCTCCACCGAAGGTCCCAGTGGCTGCACCCGCATGCGGTTCCTGCGCCCAGTACAGCGCTTCGTGGCCCCATGGGGAGCTCCACCGAAGGCCCCAGTGGCAGTGTTCGCATGCGGGACCCCCGCCCAACACAGCCTTTCGTGGCCCCGTAGGGAGCTCCACGGAAGGCCCCAGTGGCTGCTCTCGCATGCGGGACCCCCCACCAAGTACAACGTTTTGTGGCCCCAAAAGGGGGCTCCACCGAAGGCCCCAGTGGCTGCACTCGCATGCGGGACCCCCCCCCCAGCACAGTTCGCATGCGGTTCCTGCGACCAGTAGAGCGTTTCGTGGCCCGATAGGGATCTCCACCGAAGGTCCCAATGGCGCAGTTCGCATGCGGTTCCTGCACCCAGTAGAGTGTTTCGTGGTCGCAGAGGGAGCTCCGCCGAAGGTCCCAGTGGAGCAGTTCGCATGCGGTTCCCCCATCCAGTACAGCGTTTCGTGGCCCCATAGGGAGCTCCCCCGAAGGCCCCAGTGGCAGTGTTCGCATGCGTCTCCCCCACCCAGCACAGCGCTTCGTGGCCCCATAGGGAGCTCCACCGAGGGCCACAGTGGCTGCGCTCGCATGCGGGACCCCCATCAAGTACAACATTCCGTGGCCAGCGGAGTGACGCCTTACGTAGACCCAAACCACACCGCGCCATCCCTAAGGGGCTGCGAATGGGAATATGTCACCACTTTCGAAGGCTGCTGGGGGGTCCAGCGGAGTGAAAACTTACGCAGATCTACACTAGACCTCGCCATCACTGGGGAACTGCGAACAGCGAAATGATTATACATGTTCGAGGGTTGCTGGGGGGTACAGCGGAGTGACGTCTTACGCAAACCTAAACTAAACCTCACCAGCCCTGATTTGCTGCGAACTGCAAAAATATCGCCACCTTCAAGGGCTGCTGGGGGGTCCAGCGGAGTGACGCCTTACGCAGACCTGAACTAAACTGTTGTCGGTTTCGGGGGCTGCTGGGGGGTCAACGAAGTGATGCCTTACCGTCAGTCAGTCAGTCAGTCAGAAGCCTTGCACCAGACGGTCCGCTAGCAGAATGGGACAAATGCACTACGTGTCCCACGATCGCATGGCCGACGCCCAAGCTCGCGCTGCACCGACCTCCGGGCGGAAAGTATCAGCAAGGCGAGCGGCGGAGCCAGACACACGCAGACAATTGTTCATCACCATGTTGCATTATGTCGGGGCCGGCCTCTCTTCCGAGGTCCAGGTTCAAACACAGACATGCGCATCAGGTCTATGCTGGGGCGTCTCGCAAGTTTGCCTATGAAGAGCATCTTCTGCCTGCAGGCACTTTCAAGGGCCGCTGGGAGGTCCAGCGGAGTGACGCATTACGCAGACCTAGATTAGACCTCGTCATCTCTGGTTGGTTGCGAGCAGCGACATGTGTCGCCACCTTCGAGAGCTGCTGGGGGTCGAGCGGAGTGACGTCTTACGCAAAACTATATTAGATCTCGCCATCCAAAGGGGGAGGGCAGCGAACTACGAGACTGTCGACACTTTTGAGGGCTGCTGGGTGGTCCAGCGGAGTGACGCCTCAAGTAGATTCAGATTAGACATCGCCATCCATTGGGGGCTGCGAACAGCGAAACTGTCGCCACGTTCGAGGGCTGCTGGCGGGTCCAGCGGAGTGACGCCTTACGCAGACTCATATTAGAGCTCGCATCCCTGGGAGGCTGCGATTTGCGAAACTGTCGCCACTTGAGGGCTGCTAAGGGGGCCCAGCGGAATGAAAACATACGCAGAACTAGATTAGACCTCCCCTGGGGGGCTGCGAACTGCGAAACTGTCGCCACCTTCGATGGCTGCTGGGGGGTCCAGCGGAGTGACGCCTTTCGCAAACCTAGATTCTGACCTCGCCATCCCTGGGCGGCTGCGAACTGTGAATATGTGATATCGGGGAGATGCCTTGGGAGATGGGTTTAGATCGGGGATGTGCAGACGCAAACGTATTAGTTGACTAGGAACGTGAGGGTTGAAGGCTTGAGAAGGCGATGGTAACAGCAGCCTGTATGCACCGCATAATATTGGTTTCCAACCCTCCCGAGGTAGGCTCTCGCTGTTTAAAGAACACTGTGGTATAAACTCCTTCTCCTTTTCCTCCCTCCTCCTCCTCCTCCTCCTCCTCCACCCTCCTCCTCCTCCACCCTCCTCCTCCTCCTCCTCCTCTTCCTCCTCCTCCTTCTCCTCTTCCTGCCTCGTCCTGCGCTGCTCCATGGGTGGCTGCGAACTGCGCAACTTTCGCGACTTCGTGGGCTCATGGGAGGTCCAGGGGAGTAGGGGAGCACACGTACCAAACCGAGATCTCGCAACTCCCTGGGTGGATGCGAATTAACAACTGTCGCCTCGGTCGTGAGCTCCCGAGATGTACGGCGGAGTAAGGGAGTGCGCACACCCAGCCGAGACCTCGCAGCTCCCTGCGAACTGCGCAACCGTCGCCTCTTTCGTGGGCTTCTGGGGGACACGGCGGAATAGGGGAATACGCGCACCCAGCCGAGACATCGCAGCGCCCTGGGGGGCTGCGAAACCCACGACAGTCGCCCCTTTCGTGGGCTCCTGGGAGGCACTGCGGAGTAGGGGAGTACGCGCACGCAGCCGAGACCTCGCAGCTCCCTGGGGGACTGCGAATTGCGCCACTGCTTCTACTTTCGCGGGCTCCTGGGCGGTCCAGCGGAGCAGCGGAGTCCGCACGCCACACCGAGACCTCGCAGCTCCCTGGGTGGCTGCGACCTGCGCAACCGTAGCCACTTTCGTGGGCTCCTGGGAGGCACGGCGGAGTAGGGGAGTACGCACACCCAGCCGGCACGTCTCAGCTCCCTGGGGGCTTCGAATTGCGCAACAGTCGCCACTCTCGCGGGCTCCTAGGAAGTACGGCGGAGTTGGGGAGTACGCACCGCACACCTAACCGAGACTAGGGCTCATACCTTAGGGCTTAGAGCTTAGGGCTCTGGACTCAAGCCTTAGAGTTTGAGGCTTAGGGCTTAGGGTTTACTGGGATTCGGGTCTGAGAGCCTAGGGTGGAGGGCTTAGAGCTTAGGGCTGAGGGGTTAGAGCTTAGGGGTTAGGGTCGGGGTGTTAGGGTGTTAGGGCGTTAGGATGTTAGGGCGTTAAGGTGTTAGGCTTAGGGCGCTTGGCTTAGGGTCTTACGGTTAGGGTGTTAGGGTTATGGTGTTAGGGTCAGGGTGTTAGGGCCAGGGTGTTGGGGTTGGAGTGTTAGGGTTCGGAGTAGGGTGTTAGAGTATTGGTGTTAGGATCAGGGTGTTGCGCATAGGGGGTAGAGTTCGAGCTAGGGCGGTAGGGTTCGAAGTAGAGCTAGGTAGGGGTAGGGTGTTAGGGTTCGGGTGTTAATGTTAGGGCGCTAGGTTTCGGGTTAGGGTGTTAGGGTTAAGGCGTACGGCTCAGGGCGGTAGGGTTCGGTTTAGGGTGTTAGGGTTAGGGTGATAGGATTAGGGCATCAGGATACCAGGGAGGTTGTTCAGGTTTGAGTGTTGGGTTTAGGGTGTGAGGGTAAGGGTGTTAGGGCTAAGGTGTGTTGGGGCTGTAAGGTTAGGGGGTAGGGTTCTGGAGTTAGGGGGCGGCGAGGCCAAAGGGGAGGAGGAGGGGTCCGATTTTCGAGTCTAAAGGAAAGGGGGGGGAGGGGGGGGGAGAAAGGGGGGGAGGGTTATCCGGGACGACGGATCGGGAAAGGGAGGGATGGTTGGGGGGATCCCGGGACCACGGACTGGGGAAGGGGGGGAGGGGGGGGAGGGCTCTGGACCCCCCCATTCCCCTTTGGAGCATCCAGCGGCGCGCCCTCGCAGTGTGACCGTCTTTTCTTCACCACCCTCTCTCGCCTCCCTACGAACGAACAACACGCACCCATACCCATGGGTGGGACGGAGGGGGCTATGGGTGCGTGTTGTCGGATGGGGGTCCCCGCTCGAAAGGAAGCATCCCCCAGGATCCGACAACCCGCACCCATACCCATGGCCAGTCCTCTTCCCAAAAATCCCCCTATGGGTATGGGTGTGTGTTGCGCGTTCGTCACCTATCGCCAGGCGGCTCGGAGTCGAATCGGGAAGGCCGCTCGGGACGGGAAGCACAGCGGATCGGGCCGCAATCGGCGCGAGGCGTCGGGGTATCGACCCGGGTCGGCCGCGCCAGGGAAGCACGGCGGCGCCCCAGACGCCCGACGTCGTGGTGCGGTGCCCGAGAGGTCCGGGCACTTGCCTCGGGACTGGCTTCTCATCCCGAGTCGGGGTTTGACGGTCCCGGGACCCAGTGGGGGCCCCTTCGGAGGCCGAAGATGGGGAGATATTCATCGTCGTGATTGGTTCGCACGTGGCGAGAGGATGTCAGGGGCTGTGAAAATCGGATCGTCGGGATCTCGGAGTCGAATCGCGAAGCGGATCGGGCCAGCCCGAATCGATGTCGAAGCGGATCGGAGTGGGCCCTGCCCGAGGGACGCAGCATGCAGGTCGTCGGCGGCGGCCTTGTGGCTGTGCCTGTGGAACTCGAGGACCCAGGACACGAAGTTGAGCAT